TTTTTTTTTTTTTTTTTTTTTTTTTTTTTTTTTTTTTTTTTTTTTTTTTTTTTTTTTTTTTTTTTTTTTTTTCTTTTTTTTTTTTTGTTTCCCCCCCCCCCCCCCCCACAAAACAAAAATTTAATTCCAACCCAAACCCAAGCCCCCCAAAGGGAGGGAGAAAAAAACCCACCTCCCCCCCCCCCCGGCGTTTTTATAAAAAAATAAAAAATATTTTTTTTTTTTTTTTGTTGTTTTTTTTGGAGAATTTATTTTTTTTTTTTTTTTTTTTATAAATATTTTTAAAAAAATATAAATTATATATTATTTTTTTTTAAAAAAAAAAAAAAAAAAAAAAAAAAAAATATTTTTTTTTTTTTTTTTTTTTTTTTTTTTTTTTTTTTTTTTTTTTTTTTTTTTTTTTTTTTTTTTTTTTTTTTTTTTTTTTTTTTTTTTTTTATAATTTTTTTCCCCCCCCCCCTCCTCAAAAAAAATTTTTTCTTTTTTTTTCCAAACTATTTTTTTTTTTTTTTTACTAAAAAAAAAAAAATAATATTTTTTTTTTTTTTTATTTCTAATTTTTTTTTTTATTTCTGTGTTGGGAAACTCCTTTTTTTTTTTTCCCCTTTGGGAATTTTTTTAAGGAAAAATCGGGGGTTTTTTTGCCCACCTTTACCCCCATCTAGCCAAAGCATAATAATAAGGTTTTTTCTTCCTTTTTGTCTTCGATTCGCATCAGAACCGTGAAAGGAAAAATTTGTAGGTGTATTTTGAACAGGTCACGAGGGGGATAAAATTTTCGACATTTTCTAAAACTTTCTGAAATTTTTGAGCCATGATTTTAACTTCTCTAATTACATTTTTGGCTGTCAGAATATCGGTTCGCCGATGTATTACTCGAATTCGCAGCGCCAAATATGAACATGACTACGCAACAGTATGGTGTGAATTAAGATCGATTTGATCAAAGCGTGTATACATATTATTACAATTAGATCTATGCACACGCTGACCGCAACTTTATTCAAAGGTAAGCTCACACGATACGGCTCACTTTACGTTCAAGATATTCGGGCAGCCAGGCATACAGTCAAGTTTCGGGTAATTACGCGCCAACCTAGAGGACAGATGCGGCCACCCGCCTGTTTGGCTTTAAAGAATTATCAACGTGATCTTGTCAACTAACTTATCACCATACCCCGCGGATATTTTCATCGGTGTGTCGTTGAAGGACAGAGCGAGGGGTTAGAGAGGAAAGCGACAACGAGAGAGCGAGAGAGATCGAGGAAGAGAGCGAACGAGAGAGCGAGAGAGATCGAGGAAGAGAGCGAGAGAGAGAGAGAGAAGGAGAGAGAGAAAGAGAGAGATCTAAGGATTGAAATGAAAAAGCTAGTTGAATGCAAAAACCAGGTTTTGCCGAATGCAAAGCATTTTCCACCTCTGCCTTTTCGTGTAATATACTATGGGAATTTAAGCAACGAAAGAGTCGAAAATCTTTATTCAAGCCCACAGCTAAAATCTCTAATTTTAGCTTCAACATCTTCTCCAGGTATCAGGGCCTCGTCTGGTGTTGTGATCAATATTTTCCACATCCAGGTCCGTGTTACGATCAGCACTTTACCATCAGTCCGTCGGATACGGTAGAATACACTCTCGTAGTCGGGTAGTTCAAGCTTTGGAAACTTTTCGAAAAAGGCCAGTTGTCCTGCATCATCCTGATCATTCTCCGATCCCACATCGATCGCAGTTATTTCCCGCTCTCCTCGTAGCCATTCGTCCACTACCATTCGTGCGTATGTCCACGCAGACATTGCGTAGAATTGCAGCCACATCTTTGGCACCTTCGATTTTATGAATTCTTCTTCGTGATCCGGAAGCCATACGGAGAGCAATTCCACGGAAGAGTTTATAAACTCCACGACATCTGGAGACAGTGGCATTCTGAGGCGGTGCAAGCCCACTTGGTCGTAGCTTCTGCCGGCCGGCTTATGGCGCAGTAGAACCTCCAAAGTAGCCTCCACGTCCTTGATGTATAATTTCATACATCGCACGTTGTAACCGGTAGGTATTTGGGCTTTTAGTCGATTGACGGTAGAATTGTGAAAGAGCAGCCTGAAGGTGTCGTCCTGTAATTTTTCCAGATCCGGAAATGTCAGCAGATCGAAGGGAGCGACTCCATGCCAAAGCGTTTTCCAGTCATGCCGGATGTCGACGTCCCAAAATTTGTTCTTGCAGCTTTTGGCCACCTCCAGCATCGTCTTGCTTGTGATGGCTGTTGTGAAGAAGCTGTTGATGTTCATGTTGCGGAGGATTTGGTGTTGGACTTCGATCGGGAAGGCGGTGAAGTCCATGTTCTGAAATGGAATGGTATTTGGATCAACATGGTGGTATTCGAGAGAGAGAAAAGTTGAAACAGAGAGAGAGGGAGTGAGACACGTAGAGAGAGAGAGAGAGTGATAGAGAGAGCGAGAGAGAGCTAGAGAGACGAGAAAGCGAGCGAGCGAGCGAGAGAGAGAGGGAGAGGGAGCGAAACAGAGAGAGAGAGGGAGAGAGAGTGATAGAGAGAGCGAGAGAGAGAAGAGACGAGAGAGCGAGCGAGGGAGAAAGGGAGAGGGAGGGAGAGAGAGCCCAAAGCCCCCTATTTGACCTCCAGGCCAAGCAAAACAAGATATGTACTGCAGTTCTACGCCGGAAGGAGTGGCGTTGCGACAGATGGCGACCTCCTTTTCGTTCGAAAATAGGCTTCAGTTCAATTGATTGTTCATAGATCTATAGGCCAGGACTCGTCTGCTCCTTCCCTCTCCCCCTGCCCCATCCGTCAGAAGTGACCCCTCGGGCGCTGACTGATAATGTTGTTCACACTAATGCCCGAGTCAATATAAACTTTTTACAAACAAATTCTTCCTATATGGATAACATGCTGATATCATAATTAGGGTTTTTTAATATCAAGTAAGAATATAATGCTTTTGATGCATCCCTCATGAATCGATCGCGGAATAAACTAACTACCTCACACGTTTAGAATAATTGGCTTTTGATACCATAAATTGAACACAAATACGAATGTCCTGATTGGCGTATTTTCTCGTCGTAATATATCATAGCAATTTTTCGTTTTTCCATATATGTGCCGCGGGGGGTCAATCGGGATTCCACGTATTCGTAGCTCTCACATCATGCAAAAACGAACAAAAATCATTTTAGCGAGTTTATATCCGTGTGATAGGCATAAAATCACTAATTTTCTGATCTCAGCTCTAATACTACCCGTATAACTCGTCTATTGACTCAAGCAAAATAAAATTCACCTTGCTTTTGAATGTTGATATCTATAAAAACCTAATTATTATATTACCATGCTTTATATAGGAAGATTTTGGTTGTAATAAAAAAATTAAATAATGAGTGAATTTGTAAGATTTTAAGAAGTATGAATGAATATATGATGGTTGTACTAAAAGAGAAAACTTCCACTGCAAGGGGAGTCGAAGCCCGCGTCTATCCCAGAGGGAGATTAAACTCGCTAGTGAGCAATAGATAAACAAATTTCAGCTCTATAGAGAGCTGAAAACCAATATAAAAATATTGGCCTGTATCGACCCTAAACCAAGTCAGGCTGAAGTAACTCCAGGGTGGGTTTCCAGAGTTGGAATTCCTAATGTTCCTATTGTTAGAATACAGCGGTGGTGTATAGGGATTGGGAAAAATAGCAAGTAGCAATTGGAGTTGAAATAGAGCGAAATTTGTCTAATAATTTTTAGTTCTAACTATATTTCTACTACTTCCGCCTTTCTTAGTTTGATCAGATCGTACTTTCACGGGAGTGATTGGCTGGGCGCTGAGGCCGCGTGGATAGGATGGATATGTTGCCTAGCGTAATTGGGTGGACTGTTCTTACACACCGGTGTAGTGGTAGTAGTAGTAACAGTAGTAGTAATTAGGTGCAAATCTTCGCGAAAAAATGATGAGAAAGCGGCCGTTCAAGGTTGAGTATCTTCAACACAATTGCCAAATAACGCGGGAAAAGGAGAGGGAGAGAGAGAGAGAGAGAGAGAGAGAGAGAGAGAGAGAGAGAGAGAGTGCGAGAGAGAGAGAGGGGGAGAGAGAGAGCGCGCGCGAGAAAGAAAGCGAGAGGGGCGTGAGAGAGAAAGTTGAATGGTGGATCGTGGATGTATTAAATCAAAAAGACAGGCGGACGGCCAATGCGTAACGAATCGGAATGCAGATGTCGTGTAAGTACGAACATATGCCAACGACAGATGTTATCAGTTTTTATGCATTCTGACCCCCAAAAAAGTGGGTAGAATTTTGCTTGTGTGCCCCGAGGGGCTATGATTTCGAGAGAGGGAGCGAGAGAGAGAGAGAGAGAGAGAGAGAGAGAGAGAGAGGGGGAGAGAGAGAGAGAGTGAGACCAGAAATCAGTTCATTTACTGCTTTTTATTAACAATAAATATATTTGTGGAGGTTTTGCGGCTCGTATTTGGCTGTTCCTTGACCCCCGTTGAGGTCAATTCAATGTTGTTGGGCCTTCGCAGGAAGATAATCGTCAGAATTCTGAAATAATATCCATTACTTAGGACTGAATTTACCGGTTTTAGATTTGAGTATATTGAGTATTTAGTATTTGAGTATTTTTTTGGTAAATTGCGAAAAAATCCATGTGGTCCCCCCTTTACTCGTAAACCATCAAAACAAAAGTTTCAAAAAATCGTAGCAATTACACCACGTCCCTAAGCCTAACAAGGAGTGTCCTTTTGGTGTCATCGGCAAAACGATTCGAGACCCAGCTCATTCGATAGAGAATTGAATTCTGAACAAGACTGTGTTGTTCATTTTTGCGGAATGGTTGTCCCTGATTTTATAGAATTAAAAAACCAAACGCGAAACCTTAACAACTCGCTCCCCAGGCACGTATGTATGGGCGTCGCCGGCGGTTTTTTAATTTTATAAAATCAGGGACAGCCATTCCGCAAAAATGAACAACACAGTCTTGTTCAGAATTCAATTCTCTATCGAATGAGCGGGGTCTCGAATCGTTTTGCCGATGACACCAAAAGGACACTCCTTGTAAGCCTAAGCCAAGCCTAAGCCTAAGCCTAAGCCTAAGCCTAAGCCTAAGCCTAAGCCTAAGCCTAAGCCTAAGCCTAAGCCTAAGCCTAAGCCTAAGCCTAAGCCTAAGCCTAAGCCTAAGCCTAAGCCTAAGCCTAAGCTGAGGGTCAATCGTTGGCCTACTCACTAGGGAATGGTCTCCGCTCGGCCTCGAATTTCGGATTGAAAGTTAGCTCATCTTGTAGAGCTCGACGAGACGAATCGATTGATGTAACTTTTAGCTGCGGATACTGTAATACAACAAAGTTACAGCCCTTTAAAGTTTTTACACGACCTTCATAATCACTCCCCACGTGCCCTCCACCGTGGTCTGGTGGCCTAGTGGTGTAGCAGTGGGCGTGTGGGGAATCTAACGAGGGTTCGGACCCGCTCACGATTTTTATTTTTTGCTTTGCATGCCATTGGTGGGTCAATTCAAGGCCAATAAAATATAAAAGTTTTTTCATCGAATCGGGGGCACGATAGTGATTTTTAATGATCATTGCCCACCGGTTGAAACTTTATCAAAATTTTGGAGCCTAGAGCACCAGCCACTGGGCTCAAAAAAATTGTTTTTTTTGCCGAAGCCTCATTTTTATTGGCAGCACTTCCTAGTGCAGAAATGATGAATAAAAAGTTCTTCCCCGGCCTTCAGAACGCAAAAAGGAGGCTTTGGACCAAAAAGCAAAAAATAAAAATCGTGGGCGGGTCCGAACCCTCGTTAGATTCCCCACACGCCCACTGCTACACCACTAGGCCACCAGACCACGGTGGAGGGCACGTGGGGAGTGATTATGAAGGTCGTGTAAAAACTTTAAAGGGCTGTAACTTTGTTGTATTACAGTATCCGCAGCTAAAAGTTACATCAATCGATTCGTCTCGTCGAGCTCTACAAGATGAGCTAACTTTCAATCCGAAATTCGAGGCCGAGCGGAGACCATTCCCTAGTCAGGGGAAAGCTTTGGGAACCCCCTCCACACTAGTGGGCCAGGTGGGGGGCGGGTGCGAAGCAAGCAGAGTATTGATCGGAAGCGCCCGGCCCGTTTTTAAAAAATCCATGTGGTCCCCCCCTTTACTCGTAAACCATCAAAAATATAAGTTTCAAAAAATCCTAGCAATCCTAGCAACCCATCCAATTTTCAAGCCGATCGAATAAAACGCCGCCGAGATACGAAGGTTCCGCTTAGACCGTGACGCGGGTGGGCTAATTGCAACCTTAGGTGGTACCCCCCCACGTCGAACTCGATCTGGAAAAATGTTTTTGGAATCGTAATTTTAAGTGTTGTATATCAAATTGTAGAGGACGAGTTGCTTCAGGTGCGCCCGCGTTCCTCCTGAGCTGAGCGATCCACCGTAATCTTCGCAACCTCATACCCGCGAAACCAATCGGAGAACTAGATCCGTAAGAAATATAGATCCTTTAATTATATATTCAATTTTTCAAACTCATTTTCAAACCAAAAAAACGCGGAAGCCAGCAGCAAGACTTCAAAGATCTCGCGGAAGTCTTTGACACGAGGCATGGGAATAATGAAGGTATGTAAGGACTGGAGTACCAGTAATTTGCAGATAGCCGGGGATTCCAATAATTCACAACGGGTCCCATTTTTAGAAAGTACAAGTTACGAGCCTTTGGCGAAGCGGAAGCGGGGAAGTATTTAGGAAAACGTAGAACGACATCAAAGTCGAGGATACATGGGAATATACATATTTAGAGACACATATTTACGCGAATCTGTTTCAACTTTGAGTAAAATTCCTACAAACTACGTTGCTCAGTTTACTAGCTACGATTTGCGCCACTTTACAGCAGCGAAATGATTTTTTCAGGTATTTTTTACAAGGATTCGGAAAGGCGAGAATCGCGACTACACCAAGCTCCAACTGACGCTCAGCGCAGATCGCTTGCTAGAATCTCCCGTAGAAACCATAAACAAAGCGTTGTTTCGCACGTCGTTAGGTGTCGCGCGTAGCTATCCAGACCTAGCCACCCCGGGTATCGATTTTTTTTTCCGAACGCAGTCGATTTAGGAATTTTTTAACTGTCGTAATGGATTACAGGATGGGGACTACAGTGCTGTACACGTTAAATAATATTTCTTGTTATATCTTTTTCCGCAGCCCTTTACATGCATAACAATGCCTTGCCGATCCCTTTAAAGCTGCCGGCACCATAATCCCAAAAATTATTAGCTATTTATTATCTTGCACTATGCGTCGGGGATCCCCTGATGGTACTTGAGTGCTCCTGTACTGTATTTATCGTCATTTCCGGCTGCTTCGGACGGCGAAGGAAGATGATAGAGAGGATTCTAAACATAATATTGATTTAGGCTATGCTACGCTCCAGCGTACGCATTGTATGGTAGAAATAAAAATAGAGCAATTTGACCGACGGCCAGCCCGGCCAGCAAGGCGAGCTGTGGCCCGAGGAAAATGTGGATTAAGATCTGGAGGGCTTGGGAGAGTAGCGAGACCGAAATGTAGGAGCCAGAAGACCAGAGAAGCTGAAAAAATGGATTACGGAGGTTTTTCCTGACGGACAAGCATCTCGATATTTGAAATTCTTAGCTGTCACTCTCCCTCAAAAAGTCTTAAAACGAAAAACCTACCATTTTTGCCAAAAACATGGGCGATTTCGTACGCCTAGAAGCCGCAAAAGAGTGCTAAAAATCGCCAAATTTCAGAGGTCAAATTTTTATACCGTTTTCAGCTTCCTGTAAGCAAAAAAGTCCATTGCCGCCGATTTGGAGAGTAGTATATCTTCAAGGTAATACGGAAACGAGCCTAGACCAATGTGAAAAACACGAGCGAGTTGGAGGAATAGGGATAAGGTGTACGGTAGAATCAGCTGGAAGTAGGGGAACTTGAGGACATACGGGAAATATCGGCCGTTGAATGAGAGGGCGGTGAAGCGGCTGAAGCGTAAAAATTAAAGTTATGCTGCATAGGCTTAGGCTTGGGATATCTCTCGCTCTCTCGCTCTGTCTTTCTCTCTCTCGCCATCTCTCTCACTCTCGCTCACTTTCTCTCTCTCTCTCTCTCTCTCTCTCTCTCTCTCGCTCTCTCTCCCTTTGCCTCTCTCACCCCAACGACACAAAATATTGTGCCAGACGGATCCCAGTGGATAGCGTCATCAGGTTGTCCCACAGCGTTGACCCGAAGAAGAGTACTTGCACAAAAATCGGGATCAACGAGGTCAGACCGGTGGCCGTGCAGATGTTGACCAGAACACTAAAACAAGACATTAATATTAGGTTTAAAAAATACAATAATTATTAAAAAATTGTGTATGCTATCATATTTAAGGAAATTGCTCACATTCCGCCAAACAAAAACATCTGGCTCAACGACATCATGAAGCGGCCGAACGCCTCGGAGATGAGAAGAAGCCTGAAAATTACTTCAGTACCAATTTTACACTTGAAAACATGCAAAAAAAATAGTTTTAAAGGATAAATTACAATTGCAGTTTTTACCATCCTAATGCCGTTAAACCTAAAAATTACTCACCGAACCGGCCATACAATTTTACGATTTATCGCCGTTAAATATATAGCTATCGGATTCGATATAATGGATATAAATTGGATCTAAACGAACGTACGCTATAAACCCAATTCCATTACCATGACGGTCGTATTGTTATATAGAAAATTGACCCAAAAGGTCTGTGTCCGATCATCCAGATACACATTGCTGACGACGGGTAACTGTAGCTTTGTGATAGTTGAGATCACGAAGAAGGCGGCTAAAGGAATGTGACGTAGTTCCGGAGATACCTTACCAAATATCACCAAAGTCAACGATAAAACCTCATAGATTTCAGCGTATTTTCGCAGGCTGCTCCGCATGTTTTCGCGGCAAATGTGAAGAATTTGGGGGGAGCAACATCGGTTGCTGCTCAAATTTGCTCCCACGGGTGTTTAGGTTGGTTACCAGGAAAGTTACCTCGTGTTGGTGAAGGAGCAAAGAGCGCACTTTATATTTTGTGGCTCTTCGCTTCCTGGTACCATGTGGTACACGTTTATTGATGTATTACGCACTAATGGGAACGAGGAAACGGAAGTTGGGGGTTGAAAATTTGTGCTAACTCAAAGGGCTTTAGAAGCAGGAACTTGTGCATTATTGGGGGTACGTCAGAACACAGCCAGAGACGGTTTTATCTAGCTCGAAAATCGACGCGGCAAGCCCAGCTCGGGGGCTTCGCTTCGACTCAACATTCGCAAGCCGAATTCTCGCCAAACTTCCGCTAAAATCCGAAAGTGTTTATTTTTCGGCACGGTCTGCACCTTGCTGGGAATCAGGAACTGTTTCTTGGCGTGCCTGTCGCCTAAAATAATTCGTTAATTCAATTTTTCACCAGGTATCCCGTGGTCTTGAAAGTAGAATTTCTCACTTGCAAATTTCCTCTTAAAAATCCCACGCAAATCTAGGCCAATTAGTGAGGATTTTTTGAGGGAAAAGCACAGTTCAGTGGGAGAGTGAGAGGGGAGCAAAGTTGTCTTTAAAACGTAGAGCTAAAATGATTAGCTTGAGCTTAGGCTTAGGCTTAGGCTGAGTTGGCCAAGTCACGGAAATCTATCAATATTTATTCTCCGCCGGCGAAACATTCACTTAACCATATTTCGAGGCGAAAAGGGTTTAGAAAACTTGAAACACTGTTTAAAATGTTAAAATTTGGCCGAAAATAGCTCGTTTTTGATCGAAAATCTATATTTTTTTGTATTTTTCTAATACAAATTTGCTAAGTATTACTCATAGAGACATTAAAAAAGCAGCTTAAAACACTCCTTCCACGTATATTAGAAAATTTGCCCTAACTAGGGAATGTTTTGGGGCGGACATCGGACCTAGCTATGTGAATTGGTGCATCTTGCAGAGCTCGACGAGACGAATCGAATGATGTAACTTTTAGCTGCGGATACCTTTTTTAATAAAGTTACAGCGGTATAAAGTTTTTGCCGATACCTTCATAACCCCTCCCCACACCCCAACCGCCGTGCTCTGGTAGTCTAGTGGGTTAGTGGTCGGCGTCCGGGGATGGTGACGAGGGTACGGATCCGCTCACGATTTTTATTTTTTGCTTTTTGGTCGAAAGCTTCGATTTTGCAACCCGAAGGACTACATTAACTTTTTTTCATTTTTCGAATCATATCCCCCATTAAATAAACATAAGCGGAACACAGAGGATTTTTCGAGCTATAGTCATGGCTTGGTCATGGTGAGAATTGGTGTGGGTGAAACTCCAAAACACCAATGAATACTGTCACCAACTTCTTTGGTGTGGGTGCTGGAGATAAAAATTGAAAAAAAAAGTTAATGTCGTCCTTCGGGTTGCAAAATCGAAGCTTTCGACCAAAAAGCAAAAAATAAAAATCGTGAGCGGATCCGTACCCTCGTCACCATCCCCGGACGCCGACCACTAACCCACTAGACTACCAGAGCACGGTGGTTGGGGTGTGGGGAGGGGTTATGAAGGTATCGGCAACAACTTTATACCGCTGTAACTTTATTAAAAAAAGGTATCCGCAGCTAAAAGTTACATCATTCGATTCGTCTCGTCGAGCTCTGCAAGATGCACCAATTCACATAGCTGGGTCCGATGTCCGCCCCAAAGCATTCCCTAGTAAGGGAAAGTAGAATCCCGGAAATCCCGAAAAAATGGCTTCGTTTAACCATACTAGCATTTCTCAACTTATTAAATAACCAGCGGGGGAGGAGCCGCTTCGCGACTCTCCCCCGCTGGACCCCGTCTAGGCCCTATTAATCGGGCGCCCTTCCACATACTGTTACCCTGAAGAAAAAAAAACAAAATTCTCATGCAAACCTCTTTGTATTGGCATTCGGCGCAAGCTTGAACTGCTAGTCGGTTATTAGGCCTGCGGCGCATGTTTGATCGGCTAGGTCGCTACCTCATCCTGCGCCCAAGCTTGAGGGATTAGCTTTCCTTTTCGGCCTGCGGCGCCAGCTTGAGCGGTTTGCTTCGAGATAAAGCCTGCGGCGCAAGCTTGATCGGCTACCTCCTTCTTTAAGCCTGCGGCGCTAGCTAGTGCGGCTGGCTTCGTTCTAAAGCCTGCGGCGCAATTTTGAACGGCTAGCTTCGTTCTAAAGCCTGCGGCGCTAGCTTCTACGGCTAGCTTCGTTCTCAAGCCTGCGGCGCTAGCTTGTACGGCTAGCTTCGTTCTAAAGTCTGCGGCGCAATTTTGAACGGCTAGCTTCGTTCTAAAGCCTGCGGCGCTAGCTTCTACGGCTAGCTTCGTTCTCAAGCCTGCGGCGCTAGCTTGTACGGCTAGCTTCGTTCTAAAGTCTGCGGCGCAATTTTGAACGGCTAGCTTCGTTCTAAAGCCTCCGGCGCTAGCTTCTACGGCTAGCTTCGTCCTAAAGCCTGCGGCGCTAGCTTGTACGGCTAGCTTCGTTCTAAAGTCTGCGGCGCAATTTTGAACGGCTAGCTTCGTTCTAAAGCCTGCGGCGCTAGCTTCTACGGCTAGCTTCGTTCTCAAGCCTGCGGCGCTAAGCTTGTACGGCTAGCTTCGTTCTAAAGTCTGCGGCGCAATTTTGAACGGCTAGCTTCGTTCTAAAGCCTGCGGCGCTAGCTTCTACGGCTAGCTTCGTTCTGAAGCCTGCGGCGCTAGCTTGTGCGGCTAGCTTCGTTCTAAAGCCTGCGGCGCTAGCTTGTGAGGTTAGTTTCATACTTAAGCCTGCGGCGCAAGCTTGAGCCTCCTTAGCCTGCGGCGCAGTTTGAACGGCTAGCTCTGCCTTTGGGCCCGCGGAGCTAGCTTGCCCGGCTGACTTCCTTCCAAAGCCTGCGGCGCCAGTTGCAGAGGCTAGCTTCATTCTTTAGCCTGGGGCGCAGGTTTGAGCGACTAACTTCATAATAACGCTTCTCTACACCAACGCCCTTCGAAATCAACTTTCCGCTCAAAAATCAAAACAATTACTATCCCCGGGAACCGAACCTCCGATGGATAGATTGGCAGGCTGCCGCGCTAACCACTACACCATGCAACGATTGAGGACGCGCGCGCGGTCCCCCTTTTATGCCTCGAGGGGACTGCTCCGGGGAGGGAAGGGAAGGCAGAAGAGGCAAATCCAAAGAGACGACCACATTCGCGCGTGCAAGTGTCAAGAATGAGAAAATTTCTATTTTTTCACATTATGCAAATTACCCCCAAAAATGAATAAAACCGGCTTTAACTTTGTAAACTTGTATTTTATCGAAAATCTGAGAACGTCATCGGAAACAGAAGGGTCGATTCCCCCGGGTGACGGAAAATTGGGGCATTTTATGCACGGAAGGCCCCTCCAATCCGGGCCTCGAAAGTGACATCCACACACACACACACACACACACACACACACACACACACACACACACACACACACACACACACACACACACACACACACACACACACACACACACACACACACACACACACACACACACACACACACACACACACACACACACACACACACACACACACACACACACACACACACACACACACACACACACACACACACACACACACACACACACACACACACACACACACACACACACACACACACACACACACACACACACACACACACACACACACACACACACACACACACACACACACACACACACACACACACACACACACACACACACACACACACACACACACACACACACACACACACACACACACACACACACACACACACACACACACACACACACACACACACACACACACACACACACACACACACACACACACACACACACACACACACACACACACACACACACACACACACACACACACACACACACACACACACACACACACACACACACACACACACACACACACACACACACACACACACACACACACACACACACACACACACACACACACACACACACACACACACACACACACACACACACACACACACACACACACACACACACACACACACACACACACACACACACACACACACACACACACACACACACACACACACACACACACACACACACACACACACACACACACACACACACACACACACACACACACACACACACACACACACACACACACACACACACACACACACACACACACACACACACACACACACACACACACACACACACACACACACACACACACACACACACACACACACACACACACACACACACACACACACACACACACACACACACACACACACACACACACACACACACACACACACACACACACACACACACACACACACACACACACACACACACACACACACACACACACACACACACACACACACACACACACACACACACACACACACACACACACACACACACACACACACACACACACACACACACACACACACACACACACACACACACACACACACACACACACCACACACACACACACACACACACACACACACACACACACACACACACACACACACACACACACACACACACACACACACACACACACACACACACACACACACACACACACACACACACACACACACACACACACACACACACACACACACACACACACACACACACACACACACACACACACACACACACACACACACACACACACACACACACACACACACACACACACACACACACACACACACACACACACACACACACACACACACACACACACACACACACACACACACACACACACACACACACACACACACACACACACACACACACACACACACACACACACACACACACACACACACACACACACACACACACACACACACACACACACACACACACACACACACACACACACACACACACACACACACACACACACACACACACACACACACACACACACACACACACACACACACACACACACACACACACACACACACACACAGTTACACGCCAAAATTATATAAGGTAGGATTTTCTAAACATTACCCCAACGAGACAAAATACTGTGCCAGGCGGATACCAGTCAATAAAACGAGCAAATACTTCCAAAGCGCCGTGCCTAACATCAGGGGTTGAGAAGCGAAAGCCTTCCACGACTTGTCATCTGATTCCAAGAAGATGCCGCCCAGAATTCTGCAAGAATTTCTAGCTAAAGAAAGACGATCTTACATTCCGATTTCCACGATTACTTGGCTCAACGACATCAAGGTGCGGCCGACTACTTCAGAGATTAAAATTAGGCTAAATATATTTTAGGCCGTTTAAACAAAAATCCTACTTTAAAATGTGTATAATCTCAGTCTTCAAAGTTTATAAAACGTCATAAGATGTTCTGAACCTACCGAACCGGCCACACAAGTTTCCGATGCACCACGATAAGATAGGGAGCGATCGGGTTCGTCAGTGGGGAAATAAAGTGCATCTCATTTTATTAATCTGCTTTTTTATACTATTTACTATTCTCTACAACTTCTTAAATCAGCAGAACAACCATTTAAATCTGGCTAATCCAGACCTAATCATTAAAACATTACCGGGGACATTGTATGTGTATAAATTATCATCATCCAAAAGAATTGCGTACTAATTAATGTCCATCGAAATCGGCTTAAAGATTGTTCCCAAATTTCCCACGCAAACTGGGGCCGTCTCCCGGTTTTTGGACCAAAGAGTTTGTCCTTTCGATTGCACCTAAATTTCGATTCGGATAAAGACATTAATTCATCCAAACCAAGTCCATAAAGTGCTTTCAGCCCCCGGAAATACAAAAAAACACTCTATTTTGTACATAATACTGTACATTAACTAAAATGTAGAGTTAGTAGAAAAAGGCGCACAGCTAAAAGGCACTCGTATATAGCAGGGTACGGCTAGAAAGTCACAATCGAAGCGAAAAAAGCCAAAATTTAGATAGAAAATTAGGAAAATGGCAATGTGGTTATTACAACGAGGTGTCGATAGAAACATTGCAAGGGCGGTCATGACAGAGGGTTTCTTGGCAAGCCATTAAAGTACCAGTTACACTATAACAACATTACATATCCAACCAGGGGTAACAGGACATTGTCGAAATTCTCGATGTACGCTTCGATGAAGGTGAGAACGATCGAGCAGGCGGCGCGATAGGCCAGGGATGGGATCTAGACAAGTGGAAGCTAATGTTTTCAAAAATGTCTTACCGGTTGAGCACAGAGCGGGGCCAACGCTGTGGAGCATAGAAAAACGGAGGCGGCCATGAACATCGAGCCGACGTAGGTCTTATTCCTTCTAAAGAAAAATTATAGGAAAGAGAAATTTGCATTTACCCAGGCCATTTTTGCTGTCCGTAGAGGTAACCGCCAATAGCTGCCATCGAGTCGCCAACCTAAAGAACGTAATTTAAAGTATTTTTTTAGTCTTAATCGCTTACAAACGACGTTAAAAAGTAAAGCTCACCACAACTGTCAAAATCCCGGCCAAATGTCTCATTTGAAAAGTTCGGGGCTGCGTCAGCGGGTCAAGGAAGAGTGGGCAAAACACGCCGAAGAGTAGGTACATTGGAGTCATCAAGACTTTCTAAGATCAGGATCTTATTAGAAAGCGAAACCGTACGCCGTCCTGCTTGTCCTTGAAGATCAGGAACAGGCTGTCGAGGCCGGTTGACCAGGGCGGCACTTGGAAGTAGCGGAGGACCTACAAAAGATGGTGGCCATTAGAAAGCTAATACCTCAAAGCACACAAAAATACACAGCCACAAGTAGCCGCACAGCCAGGTGAAACGAGGTTCGTAGTAGATGCCGCTCAGGTAGATTAGGCCGATGACGAGGTGGAAGAACTTTCTGAAAACGTATATATTTTTTATTAAACCCAGTGAATCAGATCAAGCTACCTGACTTCTAAGCTTACCTATGCATTGTATTCGACATGTTTTGACTTGAAACTATGCTTGAAAACTGGATAGCAACGAACACGGCCGCAGACCAACCAAACAATATCCAGAGTCTAAAAGGACTTAAAGGAGACGTTCAAAACATACCTGGCCTCGGTCGACTCAAATACAATCTCGTAAAAATGCGCCGGCAACTGCAGCAAGCTAATGTGAAGCGTGTGAGCGTAGATGGACATTGCCGTGCCGACAACCTAAACTACCCCTTAGAATTTAACAGCTATCTACTCACTAAAACCAGGACTCCATTGATTAGCACTGGCTTAGCTGACGCCGCTGCAGAGAGGGCGACAAAAGAAGCGGAGGCTATTACTGCTATCTAAAAGAGAAACGGGTTTATTAAATTTCGTAAAATTACCCAATGCAGCGGCCCATAATCGGCTGGCATTTATGAACATAGGGGCGAGTAGACACCTGAAGAGCGGTTTATAAGATCGATGATTAAAAAAGTCACAGCAGGCTGGAAAAAAGTGCGCGGCAAACAAAATCCGCGGGAGAGAAAGCTTGTTTTCGCGGCCAATCAAAAGATCGTCAACAACTTTGAGTGCAACTAGAGACCAGCGCCATCGAGATACACGATAAATTGCTGCAAAACGACTAGTCGCAGCCCCGTTCAAAGTCCCAGCGCCAGATTTCATGATGTAAGGCGCAAACAGACTACAAAGCACCGTTGAACCTACGCATCTTATCAGCAACCACAAGCCGACCAAGCAAGATAAGAAATGAAGAAGCCAGCGAAGTTTCTATCAAGCCATTCTCTCACTTCCCCATATAATGTGCACGATTTTCGATCGTATTATGTAATTCGGTTAAAAGAGCAATTGGTTTATCCTCAATCAACAAACAAAAAAGATCAACAAGGCAATGAGATCAATTGAAAATTTTTTTAATTATCCGTCAAATTAGTCGACTTCCTCGATGGTCGGTCCTCCGGCGGCTCCGGCGCCACCAGGGGCTCCTCCGGGGGCACCACCGGGCGCGCCACCGGCTCCTTGGTAGAGTCGGGTGATGATCGGGTTGCACACGGCCTCCAAGTCCTTCTGCTGGTGCTCGAACTCGTCCTTCTCGGCGGTCTGGTTGGAGTCGAGCCACTTGAGCACCTCGTCGCACTTGGTCTCGATCTTCTGGCGATCCTCCTCGGAAAGCTTGGACTTGAGCTGCTCATCATCGAGCGTCTGCTTCATGTTGAAAGCATACGACTCAAGTCCGTTCTTGGCTCCGATGCGGTCCTTCTGGGCGTCGTCGTCGGCACGGTACTTCTCGGCATCGGCGACCATACGCTCGATCTCTTCCTTGGAGAGACGGCCCTTGTCGTTGGTGATGGTGATCTTGTTGGACTTTCCGGTCGACTTGTCGGCGGCGTGGACATTCAGGATACCGTTGGCGTCAATGTCGAAGGTGACCTGGAAAAGTTTGATTAGGATAAATTTTTCTGAAAAGTGCCAATAAAGCGCAACATACAACGAAAAGCAACGTACCTCAATCTGGGGCACACCACGGGGCGCCGGCGGGATTCCGGAGAGCTCGAATTTGCCGAGCAGGTTGTTGTCCTTGGTCATGGCGCGCTCGCCCTCGAAGACCTGGATGAGCACACCGGGCTGATTGTCGGCGTAGGTGGTGAATGTCTGCGAGGTCTTGGTGGGAATAGTGGTGTTGCGCTTGATCAGAGCAGTCATCACACCGCCAGCGGTCTCGATACCTAAAAATAAAAGTAAGTTACTGCAAAAAAACCAGAAAAAGTTATGAATTCCAAACTTACCGAGCGAGAGCGGGGCAACGTCGAGGAGGAGAAGATCCTGCACGGTCTCGGACTTGTCTCCGGAGAGGATGGCGGCCTGGACGGCAGCTCCGTAAGCGACAGCCTCATCGGGGTTGATAGACTTGTTGAGCTCCTTGCCGGAGAAGAAGTCCGAGAGGAGCTTCTGGACCTTCGGGATACGGGTTGATCCTCCGACGAGGACGATGTCGTGGACGGACGACTTGTCCATCTTGGCGTCACGGAGCGACTTCTCGACGGGGTCCATGGTAGAGCGGAAGAGATCGGCGCACAGCTCCTCGAAACGGGCACGAGTGATGTTGGTGTAGAAGTCGATACCCTCGTAGAGAGAATCGATCTCGATCGAGGCCTGAAAAACAAACATAGAGCCGAATGAAAAAAATCAAAAACAGCAAAGGTGATTAAATTTACCTGCGACGACGAAGAGAGGGTCCTCTTAGCGCGCTCGCAAGCAGTGCGCAGACGGCGGAGAGCGCGGGCATTGGAGGCAAGGTCCTTCTTGTGCTTGCGCTTGAACTCGGCGATGAAGTGGTTGACCATGCGGTTGTCGAAATCTTCTCCTCCAAGATGAGTGTCTCCGGCAGTCGACTTGACTTCGAAGATTCCGTCCTCAATGGTGAGGATGGACACATCGAAAGTGCCGCCGCCAAATCGAAGATGAGGACGTTGCGCTCGCCGCTGGCCTTCTTGTCAAGTCCATAGGCGATGGCGGCAGCCGTGGGCTCGTTGATAATTCGGAGCACGTTGAGGCCAGCGATGGCTCCAGCATCCTTGGTGGCTTGACGCTGAGAGTCGTTGAAGTAGGCTGGGACAGTGACGACCGCATCTTTGACGGTTGATCCAAGGAAGGCCTCGGCAGTCTCCTTCATCTTGATGAGAACCATGGAGGAGATCTCTTCAGGGGTGAAGGTCTTGGTCTCGCCCTTGTAGTCGACCTCGATCTTGGGCTTTCCGCCTTCAGCGGAGACGACCTTGAAGGGCCAGTGCTTCATGTCGGACTGGACGGCAGAGTCTTCGAACTTGCGGCCAATCAATCGCTTGGCGTCTAAAACAAAGTAAAGATAAAGCAATACGATTCTTACCGAAGACTGTGTTGTGCGGGTTCATGGCGACCTGTTTCTTGGCGGCATCTCCGATGAGGCGCTCGCTGTCTGTTGAAGGCCACATACGAGGAGTGGTGCGGTTTCCTAAACAAACAGTTTAACACAGCAGTCTAAGACGGGACTCGAATCTCGGGTAACTATTGCAGGCGTTCCGGAACTGAACCCGGAAGGCAAGGGCGAAAAGGGTTGTGAAACGCGGGCTTGTTTGCCCAAACACCCGGGGCCAACGCACTTTGGGCCCAGACAGAAGGCTTATCTCAGCCTCAAGCGTTGTCGCGGGCCAAAAACTCAACAAAAATAGCTGTCGCGGTACCAAAATCAGGAAGATTTAAAAATCTACCTTGATCATTGGCGATGATCTCGACCTTGCCGTGCATGAAGACACCGACGCATGAGTAGGTGGGTGCCGAGACTCAATTCCGACGGCGTTGTGCTTGGTAGCCATTTCTTGCTATCTGGTGTAGTTGAGTTTATCTGGAAAGGAAGAGTTGGGTACGAAAAGAAACTGATAAAATTGGAAAGGCTAGAAAAGAGGAATAACGAGGATTGGAAAAGTATTCCCGCAGCCTGAATGTGAAAGGGCAGGGGAAATACTAAAATGAAAGTAACAAAGAATAAAAAGAAATCAAAAAAGTTAGCTGCTGTTTTAGGCCAAGAAAATGGGCAGTTTGCGAGGTCAGGGTCGACAAATGGGGCGGCAAGCGGGAAGCACACATTCGAAAAGTGGCCCCACTAGTCCAGACTGGCACAAGAGACGAGGGGCGGGGTTTGCGAGGGCATGGAAGGTTCGGGAAGCAGAAATTTCGCCGCGAACGTTCCACATCGACCTGGGAATTACCGTTGCGTCAGAAATCGTTTGGGGACCCGGGCTTGGTCGCGTAAAGTGTTGCATCACGGAATTTGGCTTTCGAAAAGTCATAAAATTGGTGATAAATTTTGAAATTTTAGACGCGAAAATTTTAGACATTTTTTGCAGAAAATTGAATTCGAAACCAGAAATTTCGAAAATTTTCAAAATCGTTGTGGGACCCGGGCTACGGTCGCGTAAAGTGTTGCATCCCGGAATTGACCGGTCGAAAAACTTCCTAAATTGGTGCTAAC